CTCAAGTGGTAGAGTGCTAGCCTTGAGCTGAAGAGCTGAGGGACAGCACCCAGGCCCAGAGTTCAGGCCCCACGACCGGACCCAAAAAAAAAAAAGTCTCATGAAGCTGTGTGCTGGTTGCTCACAATTGTAATCCTAGCTACTCAGGGTGAGGTCTCAGGATTGTGGCTCAAGGCCAGCCCAGGGAGGAACCTGGGAGACTTACCTCCAATTAACCACCAGAAAACCAGAAGTGGAGCAGTGGCTCAAGTGGTGGAGTGTTAGCCTTGAGCAAAAAAGCTCAATGGCAGTGTCCAGCTGTTGAGTTCATACCTCAAGACTGGCACACATGCTCGTGCATGTGCACACACACATACATGTACGCATTCACACATGGATGTACTGATGGTACACTGATAGCCAGCAGAAAAACAGTGTTGGAGTTGTTCGGTTGGTAGAATGCCAGCCAGAGAGCAAAAGTACTGAGTTTGAGTCCTGGCCTTGAACAGTAAGTAGTACATGTCCACACCACGCCAGGCTTCCCACAGTGGGACCGACTGTGGACCCTCATTGCTGTTCCCTCCTCTTGGTCTCCCTCTTACAGCACAGACCAGTGCTCCTGTGACTCCAGGAGCACACCTGCTGTCTCTTTCTACTTGGCTCTTTTGAGTTGATTCTCTGCCTCTGGTCCAGCCCTCTCTCCCAGAACACCCACCATAGGTGTCCTACAGCAAGGTGGCTGTGTGGCCTTCTGATGTGTCCTGAGGGTGCTTTCTGTTGGCAGGTCCCTAAGTAGCCCCACCACCACCATGGACCTGGACCCCCAGGCGGGTGTGCAGGTGGGCATGCGCGTGGTGCGCGGCGTGGACTGGAAGTGGGGCCAGCAGGACGGAGGTGAGGGCGGCGTGGGCACGGTGGTGGAGCTGGGCCGCCACGGCAGCCCCTCAACGCCCGACCGCACAGTTGTCGTACAGTGGGACCAGGGCACCCGCACCAACTACCGCGCTGGCTACCAGGGTGCCCACGACCTGCTGCTCTACGACAACGCACAGATTGGTATGTGGCGGCATGCGACAGGGTGGCCACGGTGGGGTGGGCCAGCGGCAGGGCTGCAGCCCCACTGACCTTGCCCCTCCAGGCATCCGCCACCCCAACATCATCTGCGACTGCTGCAAGAAGCACGGGCTGCGTGGCATGCGCTGGAAGTGCCGCGTCTGCTTCGACTACGACCTCTGCACACAGTGCTACATGCACAGCAAGCACGACCTGGCCCACGCCTTCGAGCGCTATGAGACGGCCCACTCCCGCCCGTGAGTCCCCTCCCCCGGCCCGCAGCCTGCCCGCAGCCTGCCCGCAGGGACAGGTCAGGCAGGGCCTTCCAGGATGGCCAGGCTCTTGCTACCCCAGGGCCCTGAGCACTGGCACTAGACCACCCTGGGAGAAGCAACTTACCCCGCCATGGATGGTTCTTCACTCCTAGAGCTGAGTGTGGTGCTTAGTACAGCTGCATGTAGAGAGTAGCCTCCCTGTGTCCCCTGCACTGCCATCTGTCTCCTTGACCCTCTCCACATATGGAAAGACATGTTGTCTTATGTCCGTCTGTCTCAGCCACCGTGTGGCAGGGGCACCTGTGTGCTGCTGTCCAGCCAGGCCTGTGTTGTCCTTTGTTCCTCTGCCCCTCTTCGCTGTGAGACAGCAGACGGGGCCAGATCACACACAGGCTGCTCACTGAGTGTCTTCCCAGTCCCCTTGTCTCAGCCCCCCCCCCACCTTTGGCAAAAACCACTGAGCCTAGGAGCCCGGGCTGGCTCTCTTCCATCCTGCCAGGAAGCCATGGGAGCCAGCATGCTTGTCCTGTACACCGCTGCTGTGAGCCCTGCTGTGTGGGGCAGGGCTGCCATCTTGCAGTGGCCTTAATAAGGCTCAGGACTTGTTCTCTTGCAGTGTCACGCTGAGTCCCCGCCAAGGCCTCTCTAGGATCCCGCTAAGGGGCATCTTTCAGGGAGCCAAGGTGGTGCGTGGCCCTGACTGGGAGTGGGGCTCCCAGGATGGTGAGTGGGGGCCAGAGGGGGCCGGGAGGCAGAGCTGGCCTTGGCACCCAGGCTTAGTTTGCTGGTGGGACCCTGTGTCCACAGGAGGGGAAGGGAAGCCAGGCCGCGTGGTGGACATCCGTGGCTGGGATGTGGAGACAGGCCGGAGTGTGGCCAGCGTGACGTGGGCAGACGGGACCACCAACGTGTACCGAGTGGGCCACAAGGGCAAGGTGGACCTCAAGTGTGTGGGCGAGGCGGCTGGCGGCTTCTACTACAAGGAGCACCTTCCCAGGCTTGGTATGGGGCTGGTCCCACTGATCCTTATTGCCCTCCGGCCATAGCTGGGCAGGGGCTGGCCGGTGCTGCCCGGGGGAAGTGCTGCCTGAGGCCTAGCCTGCCATCCTCCCCAGGCAAGCCAGCAGAGCTGCAGCGCAGGGTGAGTGCAGACAGCCAGCCTTTCCAGCGAGGAGACAAGGTCAAGTGTCTGTTGGACACAGACGTCCTGAGGGACATGCAGGAAGGCCACGGTGGCTGGAACCCCAGGATGGCGGAGGTGAGCCGCCGTGCCTCCCGAGCCCCTCGGTCCCCCTCCCACGCCCTCTGGACTCTGCCCTTGGCCCGCCCGGGAGTCCAACCCAGCCCAGCCATAGTCTCCATGACCACCACAGTTTATCGGACAGACGGGCACCGTGCACCGCATCACGGACCGTGGGGACGTGCGTGTGCAGTTCAACCATGAGACCCGCTGGACCTTCCATCCTGGGGCTCTCACAAAGGTGCCTAGGGGAACAGGGCTGAGCCTCCTCCATTTGCTTTTCTAATCCCCTCTGCGCGCCTGCTTGGCCCTGGGCGTGGTCAGGAGAGGACTGAGTTCCTGACCTGAAGGAAGGGGAAGAGCCCAGTGGGTGGAGTGGGGTGCCTGGGAGGGGGAGGGGGAAGGGGAGGCGGAGGCTGCAGCAGACAGGACCACAGCTCTGAAGGCAGGAGGCAGACAGCACAGGGAGACAGCCCGTGGGGCTGCTGAGCGGCACGGGACACCTGGGTGGGGCTATGGAGGAGGGAGGTCGACGCAAGTGTGGGAGCCTCGGTGAAAGTGTTAGAGGGGTGTTGGAAGGGTAGGGGAGCCAAGCTGGGCCGTCCAGGAGGGGCTAGGTGGCCAGCAGCTGGGACTAAGGAAGGAACCAGGGCTCCCTGTGAACCTAGAGTCCAGGGAAGGTGGTTCCGGGGAGCAGGGATGGGCAGTGGGACAGGCATACCGTGAGTTCACTGCGCGCCAGGGTCTGGGACGTGCATAGCTCCGGAGGCATATTCCCATCTCCCTTCTCCATCCGGAACCCACCCCATGTGGGGCTGGTACCCCACTCTTGCTCTGACTTCTGTCCCAGGCCTGCTCCCTCTGGGCCCTGCTTCCGCCCTGGGCTGCCCCCGCTGTGCTGGGCATACTGGCAGTGGCCCCTGTGGAACCGGAGGCCTGGGCCTTGCCCAAGTTGGCTCTGGGGAGGCCTAGATGCTGCCTCACCAGCCATCACCCTTGTGACTCGGGCTGGGCCTTCAAGCAGCCAAGTGGACCCCCCTGTGGCCCCCATGAAGCCAAGACCCTCTGGTTGTAATTGGGGCAGGAACTGGGGTCAAGTTGAGGTCTGCCAGCCCTTGGGGCTCAGTGGGGTGTCCTCTCCCACCAGCCTGGGAAGCCAGGCATGGTTGGGGGACCCCTTACCTGCTTCTCTGTCACTCAGCACAACTCCTTCTGGGTGGGTGACGTGGTTCGGGTGATCGACGACCTGGACATGGTGAAGAGACTGCAGGCTGGACATGGTGAATGGACGGACGACATGGCCCCTGTACGTATCTTCCCTGCCCTACTGCTCTCTGCCTTGACCCCCAGACCTGCGGTAACTCCTACCTCCCTCAGGCCCTGGGCCGCGTGGGGAAGGTGGTCAAGGTGTTTGGAGACGGGAACCTGCGTGTGGCAGTTGGTGGCCAGCGGTGGACCTTCAGCCCGTCCTGCCTAGTGGCCTACCGGCCTGAGGAGGATGCCAACCTGGATGTGGCTGAGCGTGCCAGGGAGAACAAAAGTGTGACCCCAGCCCCTGTGGTGGGGGGCTGGGGGGGGTGTCCCCTGGCCGTCATTGACCTCAGCCCTGTTCCCAGGCTCACTGAGCATGGCCCTGGACAAGCTGCGGGCCCAGAAGAACGACCCGGAGCACCCAGGGAAGCTGGTGGTGGAGGCAGCTCTGGGCAATGTGGCACGGGCTCTGGACCTGCTTCGGAGGCACCCTGAGCAGGCAAGCTCTGCCGGCCCCTCCCAGTACCCAGCAGCGGGGCCAGGGGGTCCCAGAGCTCACTTGCTGGCTCTTCTGGCAGGTGGACACCAAGAACCAAGGCAGGACTGCCCTGCAGGTGGCTGCCTACTTGGGCCAGGTGGAGCTGGTGCGGCTGCTGCTGCAAGCGAGAGCGGGCACAGACCTTGCCGATGAGGACGGCAACACCGCGCTGCACTATGCAGCCCTGGGGTGAGGCCCAGGCCTGCGCTGGGGTCCAGCTGGAAGGCTGAGTGCCCCTCCCTGACCCTGCCGCTTTTCCCTTCAGGAACCAGCCGGAGGCTGCCCGCATGCTCCTGAGTGCAGGGTGTGGGGCCGACGTCCTCAGCGGCTCCCGGAGCACAGCCCTGCACGTGGCTGTGCAGAGAGGCTTCCTGGAGGTGGTGAAGACCCTGTGTGAGCGTGGCTGTGACGTCAACCTGCCGGTGAGTGCCGGGCCTGGGTGCCCCCGACCTCCGCCAGGCCTGTCCTCGAAGTCACTGCCATGTGACCAACTGCCTCCCCCCACACCGACAGGATACCCATGCCGACACGCCCCTGCACTCCGCCATCTCCGCAGGCACCGCCGCCAGTGGCATTGTCGAGGTTCTCACCGAGGCGCCGGGGATTGACGTCACTGCCACCAACAGCCAGGGCTTCACGCTGCTGCACCACGCTGCCCTCAAAGGCCACGTGCTGTGAGTGTGGGGGTGGGCGCTGCCGGCACCCACGCTCGCTCTGCTCCCTGCCACCCTGAGGATAGACCTCCCTGCTCCCAACAGAGCGGTTAGGAAGATCCTGGCTCGGGCACGGCAGCTGGTGGACGCCAAGAAGGAAGACGGTTTTACTGCACTGCACCTGGCTGCTCTAAACAACCACCGGGAGGTGGCCCAGGTTCTCATCCGAGAGGTGGGCGCAGGCCTGCCCCGGAGCCGGGACGGGGGCCAGTGGGGTCTCTGGGCTGAACCCGCACGCCCTCTCCCCAGGGGCGCTGTGACGTCAACGTGCAAAACCGGAAGCTCCAGTCCCCGCTGCACCTGGCTGTCCAGCAGGCCCACGTGGGGCTGGTGCCAGCGCTGGTGGACGCCGGCTGCTCTGTCAACACGGAGGATGAGGAGGGAGACACGGCCCTGCACGTGGCCCTGCACCGTCACCAGCTGCTGCCTCTGGTGGCTGACAGGGCAGGGGGGGACCCAGGGCCCTTGCAGCTGTTATCCAGGGTGAGGAAGGAAAGGAGGGAGGGAGGGACAGACTCCAGAGAGGGCCTGGACCACTCTACTTCCCACCTCTGGTGGTCCAGGGGACCCTTGGGTGTTCTGGGAAGGGAACCGTGATCATGAACCCCTGACCAACCTGGCGGGGGTGTGGGGGAACATGATGGGGGCAGGCTGGATGGAAGGAGTCGACAACTCACGGTTGCAGCTGCCTAGAAAGGGCACGTGTCCTTGTGGCCTGTCTGGGCCAGGAAGATTCTGTCACTCCAGGTTGGGGACACACCTTTCACTGGTGTTGTGGCTGCCGCCTGGCGCATTCACAGACCCACTCACCACTTCTGCCCTGCTGCGCAGCTCCAAGCCTCCGGCCTCCCGGGGAATGCGGAGCTGTCGGTGGGTGCTGCAGTGGCTTGCTTCCTGGCACTGGAGGGCGCCGACGTGAACTATGCCAACCACCGGGGTCGGAGCCCGCTGGACCTGGCTGCCGAGGGCCACGTGCTCAAGGCCCTGCAGGGCTGCGCCCAGCGTTTCCGGTGAGCCCACACCCCCGGGGTGGAGGCAGCACCGCGGCTTGGGCCCGTTCAAGCCCCTTCCTCCACTGCAGGGAGCGGCAGGCGGCCGGAGGGGGCTCTGCCCCCTGCCCTAGGCATGTGCTCACCACCCCCAACACCGTGACGAACCTGCACGTGGCCGCCACCCCAGCGGGGCCAGAGGCCGCTGAGTGCCTGGTGTGCTCCGAGCTGGCGCTGCTGGTTCTGTTCTCTCCATGCCAGCACCGCACCGTGTGTGAGGGTGAGTGTGTGTGCGTGTGGTGTGTGTGTGGCTGGGGGGGGGCTCTGAAGGCCTCGCCCGCCTGCTCGGCTCAGCTCAGCTGCTCCCCGCAGAGTGTGCCCGCAGGATGAAGAAATGCATCCGGTGCCAGGTGGTCATCAGCAAGAAGCTGCGCCCAGGTGGGTGGGCCTGTGTGTGTGTCACACACACACACACACAGAGCATTGGTGGCCTGTGTGCCACACACACACACAGAGCATTGGTGGCCTGTGTGTCACACACACACACACACAGCATTGGTGGCCTGTGTGTCACACACACACACAGCATTGGTGGCCTGTGTGTCACACACACACA